ACATATTAGAGATGGTAAAATTAATGGGTGTAGTAGATTGAGTATTTGTGGTCGATACGGTTATGGATGATTAAAACCATTTTTTTGGTATGAGTTGAAATGGGGTAACCGGAGTTATATAATTAAACGTACTTATTTTGTCTAAATCATTTTTAAACAACAGGTTGTTAAATATGATTATAGTATTACACTAGTAATGTAATAAATTAAATAAAATATTCCAGAGTTTATGCATTACTTTTTTTTTTGTTCGAGCATGTCCATAACCATAACTATAACAAGCCAATGTAAGTGTAAAATGCAAATAGTCACTTAATCTTATCTAGGGTTGCACATCCAGGATGTGTATTAATGTACAACAATATCAATCTCTTCTCAAACATGACGGGGTTGCAATGCCCACGGATCACAAAGCAGATCGGAAGGGAGTAGGCCAAAAGACAAACACCTTAGAAGGCAAGCCCAACAGGTTCTGCGCTAGACCTTGATGCGGTCGACTATCTGTTAAACCAGTATTTAAGAGATAATCACTATTACAAAAATTAAGTAATTATCTCCAGCAGATTGGAAGGAAATCGGTAGAACAAGGTGGTACCTACAGATTTCCTACAAAATACGGGTTGTAGGGAAAACCCTGGTGGGTAATTTTTTCCTACAAATTAGCAACAAACCTTCCGCATTTCCTACGGAATATTCTGTTACAAATGTAACTACGGAATACCTACGAAACACGTTAACTACGAAGTACCTATAGATTACCTACGGGTTATTTACCTACGAAACATCTACAAAATACATACAAATTATTTTCCTACATAATACATACAAACTGATTTTCTTATAGAATACCTACCAACTACTTTTCCTACAGAATACCTACCAACATCTTTTCTTACAGAATACCTACCAACTGCTTTTGCTACAGATTACCTACAGAATTGAGTGGATTTTATTTCCTACAGAATACCTACATATTATTCATTTCCTACAAATTTTCTATGATTTTTTAGCTACTTTTTATTGCTATAATAAATTTATAATTCCTACATAATATTTATTTCCTACAATTATTGCTATATTAAATTTATAATTCCTACATAATATTAAATTTATTGCTCTATTAAATTTATAATTTAACAAATATCCAAATTTTCTGCTAAAAAACCAAACAAATAATTAAAATAATAGTCAAATACCATTATATTCATTAACATTAAAATCATCAATAACATACCATTCATACATTCAAATACTCAAAATACCATTACAATACCATGACAAAAGCTAAGAACTAATCAATAACATAACATTCATTAAGTGTTTTAAAACAAAAACTAAGAAATACTTGGTGGATTACCGGACGGTTTGATTTGTTTCATAAAGGCCGCCAAGTGTCGTTGCACTTGCAATTCCATTTCATTTCGCATTTATGGCATTTGCAAATTCATTTGACTTTGCTTTTTCATCCATGGCTTGTTACATGTTTGACACTTGTTGTCGCAACTCATTTACCTAAATATAGCAAGACAAACACATGCAGTTAGTAAATGTAATTCAACTTTAAACCATAATAGCAATGTACTTTACTTTTAATTCAATATAGGAACACACTACTCATAATAACAATATACATTGTTTTTAATATCGATAATAATAACTTTTAATATGCATAACAATAACATACTATATTTTTATCCATTATACCATTGTACTTTACATTTCCAATCCATAATATTAATGTACTTAAATTATTATCACAAACAAGAATTTACTTTACCTAATATCAATAATAGCAACATACTATAATTTTCACTCATTATAGCATTATGTTACCTAATTTAATAATAGCAACATAGTCTCATTTTTAACCATAATAACAATGCACTTTACCTAATATTAATAATGGCAACATATTTCAATTTTCACCCATAACAACAATGTACTTTATCAATATCAACATATTTTTTTCATCCATATTAAGTACCTCTTTACTTGATATTTTTTTCTGTATAATATATTATGCAAATAATTGTGCCTCTTGTTGTGACTTTGCAAAGTCAGCAGAAGCTGAAGTTGACTCATAAGAATATGCACCCGTCATTAGAAAGTGAAGAGTATCCTGCCCCACTGATAAGACCTTTTTGTTTCCCGCATTTCCTAAGCTACTGTGTTTGGGTCCACAATTCAGGATCATTCACATCATGTTGAGTCAGATCATCACCGTATTTTTGAGATAAGACTTTGTTATATGATTCCTAAAATATACCAAAAGAACGCTTTTGTCATTGTACTAAAAAGTAAAAACTAATATTAGTAAATATACAAAAAGATAAAGACAACTTACGATCGCCACCCTAGATGTCTCATTCACAAAATCCACTGGCGCCTCTTTATCTCCCCCAAAATATATTTTCTTTGATTCGGCGATAAAATGTGTCTTATAATAAAGATCAATGAATGAGGGGTCTTCACCCGTCAACTCTTTCTATATAAAAAACACAACATAATTGATGCAATTAGTGTTGAAAGAAAAATGTATCACTAAAATCTATAATTATGATTACTCACTAATTTAAGACGGTACTCCTCAAATCCACTGTTACCACTCGTATGTCTGGCTGCCCCCCCCCACCCCCACCCCCCGCCCAAGAATCAATGTTACGGTTTTTTTTTCCCGCTTTTAGACAACTTTTTACACTCATCCGTGTCCCATTTCTGTAATATATATATATATATATATATATATATATATATATATATATATAGAGAGAGAGAGAGAGAGAGAGAATTAGAATACAAAATAAATAACAACAGGATAAGCAATAATGTGTTAGATTGCTTACCCTACACAAACGTCGCCAAACATCTCTATGTATTTCAGCAAAATTGTAATTTGCAGGAATCTCAAAGTTATCATTAATCTCTGTGATAACATGTTCAACTTTTCTTGCAGAATGTACCGATGCTTCCCTGGCATCCTCCATTCTACCCCAGTAGCGATCTTTCAGCGTATTCTTAAAACCTTCACGGATTCTCCCTTATTCATTTGGATCCCATCAGTATTGAGTCTGTAAAAATATAAAAAGTAAAAGTTTAAAATGCAAAATAAGAATGAATGAGAAATAGATATTAAAAATAAATAATTAATATACTACCCTGAAACGCTCAAACATTTGAGTGACAACTTCCTTTGGAATTTTTCTATAAGTAATCCAAGGTTCATTTATAGACTGCCGAAATATCCTTAAGATCACCCGATGAATACTTTGTTTCCCAAACCTACAATATTAAAATAGCCATATAAGGATAATTATAACATCAACAATCATAAATTAAAAAAAAAGCCTTACTTGTACCCCTTTCGTGTGATAAATGGCCTACGAGAACCATTCGAATATGCATCATTTGATCCACCTTGTGTACCCGAATAATGGGGCGTCTGAATCATTAGTGACTCAGGCTCATGCACAGACTCATGCCTATGCTCAGGCTCATGTTCCTGCCCAGGCCCATTATAGAAAAAATCATTAGCAGGCTCTTCATTATTTCCTGTCATCTCATAACCATATACAATACTACTCCCTGAGAATCTCGGCGTTGCCGTCCTAACTGAAGTGCGTGAAAGGCCACTCGACAAAGGGATGCGTGGAAGGCCATTAGGGCTGGGAGATGACCTGGATCTCGGTGTTGAACCAACCAAAAAAGGGTTGTGTTAAAGGCCACTAAGGTCCGGAGATGACTTGCCTCTCGATACAGAACCACCCATTAAAATGTTACGTGGAAGCCAACTAGTATTAGGCAAAGGCGATGACCTGGCTCCTGATACAAAACCATTGCATGGAAGGTCACTAAGGTCAGACAAAGGTGATGACCTGGCTCCTGGTACAAAACCACCTGTCAAAGGGATGCGTGGAAGGCCACTAGGTTCAGGTAAAGAGGATGCCTACCACTTGATGGAGGACCAACCGGAAAAAGGTCACGTGCTAGGCCTTTATCCGACATTCTGTGTTTATAGAACAAAAATAGTCAGATATGTTAGATGATAATGAAAAATAACAAATAGACTACCATATACATTCCATATTATAAATCAAAAATAAAATGTGATAACAAAAATATTAAAGTGTATATACCATATAACATAAAACAAAGTTCCTAACATTCGTCCTCATCTGGATCAGAGTAGTCAAAATAAACTGGTTCATCTCTATCCTTTTCATATGTATCATCTTCTAGGTTTTCCGCATCAGAACCCTCACTTTCATCGGAAGATATTTGCTTAAAGTTAGTTCTATTTGAGTCTAGGGTCAAACGTTCACTAACATTTACTTCATTCGGTAACTCAAACCGCTCATCAAGATGAAAGAATCCGTTTGCTTCTGTGTTTCCATCAAGCGCAACTTCCATTTCAGCTTTGGTGACTTCATATACCCCTCTTGGCTTTGTCTTGACAACCGCCCAAAGATCTTTTGTTTCCTTTGTCACTGCAGGATATGGCGTATAAAATACTTGTTCCGCTTGTGATGCCAAACAAAAAGGGTCGTTAGTTTGAATACGAGACTTAGGGTTAACATCAACCAATTTATTTTTGTTAACTACTACACCACATATATTATCAAACCAAGTGCATTTAAATAGTGCAACAGCCGAGTGCCCAATGCCATAATAGTTAATCTCTAGGATCTCATCCAATAACCATAGTACTTTGACTCTTTGCCATTATACATCTCCCCCCTCATGCATAGTCCATAGTTATTCGTTGCACGTCCTTTACCATATTCTTGTGTGTGGAACTTATAACCATTTACAAAGTAGCCATTGTAAGACCGCGCATCCTTCGAGGGGCCATTCGCTAAAGGTTCTAAATGTTTAGCACTTCCATCGGTTGAGTCCCTCGTTACCTACATTAAAGAGCATATATGCAAAAGGTTTGTTGAAAAAAAACACAAACATTAACAAGTATTATTGAATTGGTTTTACTTACTTTGTATTTAAACCATTCTGCAAAGTATTTATCTCTGAATACTGAAACTGGTGCATTTTGATATGATGCTTGGGCTGCTTGATCAAACTCTGGGATGAAGGGGGCAACTTCTACACAATTTAGTAGAATGTAAGTGTGTGCTTTATGAAGTTCTTCATGTCTCAATAGTTCTCATACCCTGAAGGCCCAAAAGTCAAACTATGGACCAAAGCCTAACACATGGCCTAATTTTCCAAATTAAGCCCAAACCTTTACATGGGTTTATCTCAATGCCTAACCATTTAGTCCAGTCCAACCGCTCAACCGCTTGGCATTCTGATGCCCAATAGCTAACAGTCCTCAACACCCAGTTACTGTTGGATAAGGTGTCTAAGTCCATAACTTATTCGGTATATACTTGACCCGACCCGGCATGGTCCATTTGGGTTGCATCTCATCCAAACTATTTATGGATACACATATGTTTATTAATATATTATAAGTTATAATATATTAATATGAGATTATGTTATTTAATTAGTTTTAGTCTTAAATTAATTATGAATTAATTTAGAGATTAAAAGGAAGATTAATTAGATTATGGGCTATTGGTTTTATATAGTGTGGGCTAATGCTCTTTTGTTAATGGGCTAGGCTTATATGGAAGTCCATGGATGATCCATGGAGCTTTTAACCCATGGATCCTTGGAAAGGAAAGGTCATGGGTTATTAGGGTTTCACCCTAACCATGCACACTATATAAGCATGCTTATGGAGCATGAAATGGTGCCCTAGTGTAACTAGTGAACTAGTGTGTGTGAGCTTGTGTGGCCGAAATATACAAGTGTATACACTCTCTCGAAGTTTTCCAAGAGTTTGTGGTGTTTTGTGATTCCATTTGAGGCATTCACACTATTGGTGCTTGGCCCTCAAACTCCTCAAGAACCAAACTCATCAAAAAGGTATGTAATCTCTTCTAATCTTTATTTGAAATGTTCCCCATGCCATGTTAGATAGGTTATAAACCTTGGAAAATTATTATTTTGCATGTATTTAGACAAACATAGATCCAAGGTTTATTAGGGTTGCATGCACACTTAGGAAGTGTTAGATTGCTCAAAACCCAACAGTGGTATCAGAGCCTAGGCTTGCTTGTTTGAATACTTGATGCAAATTGCTGAAAATCGAAGATTTTATGCTGTCTGCACAGCTGACTCGCCGAGTCCATGAAGGGACTCGACGAGTCCAAGGCAAAACTCATCCAACTCGGCGAGTTGGTTCATGCACTCGACGAGTTGGACCCCAGACAGCATATCTTCGAGTTTTGGTGCTGGAATTGGTCTAGAATCATTACCTTAAATTGTTTTGGACTCATAAAACCTGTTTTTGATGTGGTAATGATGATGGTGGACCAATTTCAAAGTTATAATCAAAATTTCAAGTTTATATGTGTTCATATGATTCTTGAAATTGTTGATGTGGATGTTCATGTTCATATGAGTTTTGTTAGATCATAGGAATTATTTGCAAATTGTTTGTTAGTTAATTCTTGATCTTAATGTGTTTTAATGGAATTCATAATTTGTCCTCAAGTTATGGAATTCCAAAAGTTTTTCTTTTAAATGTTTTTTTTAAGAAATCATAAGTTACACTTTTGAAGAGTTTTTCTAATAAATGCTTTTATGGACTTCATAACTTGTCCTCAAGTTATGGATTTCCAAGAGACTCTTCATTAAAAGTATTAAACACTTAATTAAAACTCATAAGTTATGAATATCCAAAAGTTTATGAATTGTTCAAAACTTGCCCTCAAGTTTTGGAATTTGGAAAAGTTTCACACACTTTAATAAACTTTAATTCCAACACTTAGAATTTTAAAAGTTAAAATTCAACACTTATACTATTTATAACATTAATGGTTAATTATTATATATATGTATAAGAACAAGTCGTTTTACCGTTAGTAGGCCTCATTCACGAAGCCGGTCTATAAGGTGGGTATAAGGTTGTTGCCTATAAAATGGCAACTTAATGGGTGTCCACTCTCACCCACCGCTTGCTTGATCGGTGGAGGGTCGTTAGCCGAACGGGTAGGACAATGACTTTAAATTCTCATTAAAAGTATAATGAATATTATAAAGTAACTAAATATTTTTTATTTAATTCCCAATCTTAGTTACTTTAGGAAAAATGTGAATTTGGTGCTAGCCCATGGAATTCACACTTTGTACCTTACCAAGTCGTTGGTGGAGCGTGTGTGGTTAACCGGCACACTAACTTGGACTAGTAAGGATCACGAAGGGTGACTTAATGTTTGTCATAGATCAATGGAGCGTGTGTGGTTAACCGACACATTGATTAGGTGATAATATTAAGGGTACCAAGTGAATTGGTATGGTTATTCACACCTTGTTTTGTGATCCTCGGCATCCCAGTCACAAAATTTGAGAGGGCACACTCGAGATTGAAACATGCCATTGAAAAGTTCAATGAATCTCAAAAGATCTAGGAATTTCAAATCCAATTAAAACCTAATAAAATCATTTCTTTTTTCCATGGTGGAAATTGGTGAATCGTCATTCGCCTACCTTCAAATATTTTATAGCTTGGATTACGGCATCCCTCTTCCAAATTATAAAATATTGTGTTGGTTCCTAGCCTTAATATCTCATATTGGGTGTTATATTAAGGATTTTGAATCAACTAACTTGATTTTCTCCCATTATAGATGTCTGGTTCAGACAACTATGATCTTCCCAAATCTCTTGAAGATGGTGTTTCCTCAACATCATGCTTCACTTCCTCCACCTCCTCCAATTATTCTCCCTCACCCACAAGTTCTTGAAAAGTTTAAAGTCACTCAATCCCTATTGGCAAGCATAGTCTATGTGTGCTCACATCTTGGAGATAAAGTCACATATTGACAAGCCGGGAGAGTTGGGTGTCAAAGTCTCGTGAAAGTTGGATGCTCAATCACTTTCTTAGTAACATAGTGAGTCTCTTTGGGACTACTATGGGACAGACTATGACATGACCCTTAATGGTCTTATCTATTTGCTTGGCGTGGTGGAATCAACAATGATTTGGAACACCAGTAAAGCAAATTTGATTAAAAGAACAACTTCCCAAGTCTTAAATGGACATTGACAATGGTAACATTGGATATCTAGAAAAAGATTTCTCTTCCCAATGGAAAGGGATCGGCTATAGTCAAATCGATTGACCAAATAGTAAAGAGAAAGGCAAATTCTGAGATAGTCTCATGTGCCATTACTAAAGGGTCCATGTGTTTTGTTGCCAAAGGAAGGGGCACTGATTGTGAAGCTGCCATATTTACCTGAAAGATCATAAGATTGACCAAGTCAAAAAGTTTGACTCTACTTCAGTTAAAGTCCACTGACTAACTCTATTAAGTTCCTATTTGGAGATTCTCATTACATAATGTGAATGGGTCACATGTTGATGTTTTAAGAATCAAAAGAAAAGATAGGAAGCTTAAAGTAAGTATATGTTGATTCTGATTGCGAAGGTGGGTTTTGATCGCATGGTTCGGTAATCAGAATTTTGAGCTGTTACTTAAGAGTTATAATATATTGCTTATGAATAGATAACAACAAGGTTTTCATGTGGATTGTAAGGATAAGTTTTTCCGCAAAGTTAAAAAAAAAAAAAAGGGTTTTAATTTTATTTATTTTAAAAATATCCTTACAATGGCATATATGGAAAATTGTTGCTTATATGTTTCCAGTAATAGCAATATTGGAAAGTGGATTTTATTCTTTCATTTGTGGTAGTGTCTGAATTTACCAAATGAAGAAAGTTTTTCATCACCCAAGTTTCAATTGGACAGAAACTTGGAATCATACAAGTTGTATTGTATGATGAATGAGAATTTTCATCTTTGAAAATTAAGACTAATTCTTTGATCACATGTATATGTGAGTTAATTTAAGGACTAAGGAATTAGGTACACTGGGTGTGCGCTGGTCAAGGTCCACCACAATGATTGATTTGTCATGATTTACTAAAGATTAGTAAATATGATTATACTTATAAGGTTAAGTATAGTTCTGTAACATTGGAAATGATACAATGTATGGCAAAACAAATGAGAAGAATCAACTTAGGCAGAAAGATAAAAGTTTCTCAAATCTGAAAGGATGGGAGAGTACTTTAGTATCATATTTCATGATCATCTTAATGATTATGAAACTGTGACATCCCCAAAATCACGGCCAGAAAAGACCGATTTTGTTTATGCTTTATAAAAATCAGAGTACTTCATTTTATAAAAAGGTTGCGGAATTTGTTCCCAGAAAAACATGGTAAATATGTTATTAAAACATTTTCGAAGAAACGTATTTATTTCATTTTAAAACATTTGGGATGTCATCGTTAATACAGGAACATAAGCATAAACAAAACTTACAATTATTCACACTAGTGGTCTACATCTCTTTAAATCTCTCAGTGTAATGTCACTTCATATCAACACCTGTGATATAAATAAACTGAGTGGGTCAGGTTGGGAAACCTGGTGAGCACATGTATATAGTTTAAAATTCACAAAATATACAATTTCACCATACATATATATAAACAACTCTTATCCCACCCCGTTGATCCTCGCAACGAGGCTATCCATACTCTCGGACCTAAGATTAGTCGTTTTTACCTACTCCATACTCTCGGATCAGAAATGAACGAATTTACCAAATCCATACTCTCGGACTAGGGACGAATGACTAATCCATACTCTCGGATTAAAGATGAATGATTATGCCTAATCCATACTCTCGGACTAGGGACAATAGCTAATCCATACTCTTGGATTAACGAATGATTATGCCTAATCCATATTCTGGACTAGGGACAATGACTATGTCTAATCCATACTCCCGGATAAGTGACATATACTAACTTCTATTCTCTGAGTTTAACTCACTTGTACTCGTAAGAATATACTACCCAATATTCCTCATATTTAATTTAGGTCTACTCTTTATCCTAAATTATCAAATATAATCAGGTATGTTC